GCTTTAATTGATTTCTCTAATTTTTATTTATGTAAATTAGGGAACACATGTGAAACTCTTCCTTAGCTCATTACTACCCTAAAGCCAAATGTATTTCACAGCTGAACTACAGCAGAATATTGCACTTCAGTAGAGCCTGCAGCAAGCATGTCAAAGAGGGAAAACTTGCTGTTAATAACTACCAATTTTGACCCTTTAGGAGAGAATGAACAACAGACCCTTGATCAGGAACATGAGCTGATCACATTTATATTACTGTAACTAAAAATATTTCTGCCCTGAGGAAATGTGCTGAGCCTTCAGTGCTGAACTTAAAACAACCTCAAAACCTACATAAATACATGTTCTACAATGTTTGCTCTTCACATCTTAGTGAGTTCCTATTTGTTGATGTGTGTTCAGCAGAAAAATGTTTCTCACAAACCCAACAGAAAGAAACAAGTATAGGTTACACTCAGAGTGGAACAGCCTATCAAAACAATGATGAAGCCAAAATTTAACTTAATTGCTTGCTTAATTTAAAGCAGGCTGTCTCAAAAGAGGAACTTTCATACTGTGGCAGATTGAAAAAGGTTTCAATTATTCTGTTTTTCACATTGCTCCTGCAGTATTTCCAGGTGCACATCAGAGGAAAGCTTTCAGTGCTACAGACAGCTTGCTGGCCTGCTTGACAATGCAAGAAAACAAAACAAAGCCAAAACTTCCTGGAATAATCCTCCCATCATGTTTGCACTGCCACAGACATGATCAACAGCAAAAGCAAAACAGCAGAATGAGAACTCCTGCTTCACAAGCACAATATTTAAAATACTTCATGTTTCTATAAATCAACAACAAACCACAAATATGAAAAGGCAAAATGCTTTCTAAGAACAGGAACGAAAATTGTACAGAATCCCAGAATCACTGAGGTTGGCAAAGAGCTCCCAGACCATGGAGTCCAACCTGTGACCAATCCCCACCTTGTCACCAGCTCAGAAACTGAGCCCACACCCAGTCATTGCTTGGACACTGTGGGATCTCAGCACC